TGGGGATCCCACCTGTGTTTAGTGCTCTGTTCATATGCCCACACATGATAAGTTTTATACACTGCAGCTTATGGAAATGAATACCATTGTCCAGTGAATCTTGTGCTGCTCCTTCATCTCTGCAGGAAAGCAGGCATCTCTGCTCTCTCCCTGTGGACTGATGTGCCTTCTGCAGGGCTTGTAGAAATGCAGCGCACAAGGTCCTAGTGAAGGAAACACCTGGTACCTTTGGACTCACTAAGCCATTACTAGTTTGCCATTAAAAGGGAGGATGGCATAAATGGTCCCAGAAGAATGCACACAAACCCTGGTATGAATAACAAAGCAAGTGCCAGAGTAGCATGGATGATGGGAAAAGAGAATTTTAGGAATCTGAACCATGCAAAGATGCTTGTTGGTGTTCCTGGGTCACTGGCTTGGAACCACAGCAGCCAGGAGCTCCTGGAAGGTTTGCTGAGGGCTCCAGGTGGGAGGAGTGGAATTGGAACTGGAGCAAGTTCCTGACTGAAACCCAGTCTACATACCACACCCTTCTAGCTTGAGGAAGTGTAGTAGAAGGGATATATAAATGTAATGTGACATATATAAATAGGAATATTACTTTGCCAGTTTCTTTCTGTGTTATATGCTCAGTGGCAGCACCTATAAGTCATCAATTCTGCTATGTTATCTGTAAGTACAGGCTGGGGCCAGTATTGTTTTAAAATTCAGTTTATCCTATTAATTCCAAACCTCAGTGCTGTAACATTGACTTTCTTTTTATTCATAATCCTTTGCCTTTGGGAAAGGAGTATAGAAGGTGTTAAAGTTGTCATCAACAACTAATGCTATAAAATATATTTCTTTTTTGCCAACATGATTGTATCATATCGTAGCTGAAAAAATAGAGATATGAATAAATATGGTTGGCATATTGGCCTCAGAATTACAAATTGTTTTTTCAGTGCTACACTCATGCACATTTAGTTTTTAAGTATAGCAAGATAACTTCTGATAGCACAGATTCCATCTGGAGTAAAACAATAGCAATGTTATTTGTAATAATGCTGCACTGGTGGTGGAGCGTTGTTGATAAATAGTGTACCACAAATACTGCATTACAAACACTGCCACCTGTATTCCTGATCCAAAATCCCAGCAAAGTGAAGGATCCTCCTGCCCATTTTGCAGCTGGGGAAGGTGAGGCACAGAGTGACTTGCCTGAGCAAGTTGCAGGGCTGGGGAGAGCAGAGTGTGGCTGCAATCCCACAGGAACTGTGTCCTGCCATGCCAACCCTGGGCTGGGCAGAGCAGCTGCTGCCATGCAGGGACTCTGGGGAGGATTGGGAAGCTCCCATTGCAATGAGGTGTTCTGATCCCTTGAAAAAACTCAGTGTTTTGGAGTGCTGCTGCTCTCTCGGGATGCCTGTGCAGTGCTTTCTGCACAAAGTTGTCCCTGTCCCCTTTGTGACATCAACCTCCACCGTATTTACAGTCCAAACAACCTGAGTGCAAATGAGGAAGGAAAACAAGCAGCCAGCTGCTTTCCATTGAGTTCATGGGTTTCTCCTGGATACTTTGCAAGAGTTTTGTTTAGCCCAGCTCCGGTTTCTGCCCGCAGTGATGTGAACAAGCAGAGGAGCCAGATCCGCTCTGGTGTCAGCGCAGGTGGCCCAGCTGTGGTCACACAGCAGCAGCAGCTCAGGTGGGGGGTTTGAGATGTGACCTGGTGCTACAAAACCACAGCACAGCCTCCGTGATGTCCTTTGGTTTGTTATTCTGCTCTTTGTTCTCAAGGGCCTGCAACAAGCCCTAAAGAGTAAAGAGGATCTGTTTGCTGTGTTCGGGATTTTAGGGTATCTTTTTGAACAAATTGTTGCAAATTAGCTGCTAAAAATGTGTCTGCCATTTCTTTAAAAAGGCATTTCCTGTAAAATCAGCTGGGATTGTTACTCTGCTCTCTTCTCATCTGCACTAACCCAGCACTTTGGTACAAGAAGTATGGCCATTTCTTCCTTGTTTTTTTCTCAACTAAAACATACCCAGAAAGACTGCTGGTTTCCTTCAGTCAGAGGGAAGTCTAATTAAAAACCATATTTATTATGATGGCAGGACCAGCCCACCCCTCAAACATTCATCTTTCCTTTTAACAGTAAAAATAAAAAGGAGATAGTGTTGAACCAATGTGGTGCAGGGACTCCACACACACTGAGGAGCAACTGAAGCTTTTTTTTATCTTCAGCTGATCCAAATTTTTCTGCAGAGCCTGATTTTTGACAGAGTGATTAAAAACATTTTTGATCAAGCCTGGGAAGGCAGCAAATTTGTTCTCAGCACACACATAAATAATGCCATGTCTGAAGGTCTAAAAAATATCTATAAAACATATGTCAGCAAGAAATAGCATTTCCAAGGCAGCTCTGCTCTCAACTTTTCTGTTGGAATATTGAAACAGAGATTATTAGTGTGAATTTTTAAATAATCATGGAGGTTTTAGAAAAACATGTGCTTGGTGATTCTTTTCCTGTTTGCAAAATGTTTTTTATTGTTTTAAGTGAATAATTAACAAATTTCTTACTCTATTTTTTTTTGTCACATCAACTTAATATAGAGAGATATATCTTAATGTATTTAAAGTTGTTCATAGACGTCTTGGCACAACAGATTTTTCCTTCTCTCTTTGTCAACACAAGAATCATTTCTTTGCTGGCTGGTTGGATTTTTCATTAACGAATTTCAAAACACACAGTGCTTTGCTTAATTACAGAGTGTCTATTTTCAGCTTCCTCATCAGAAGGTAGATGTAACTGTGTAACATGCAGATTGAATTCCAGGTATTTCAGCCAATTATGCTGTTCAAGGACTACTCTTGTGAGCTTCTGAGTGGTTCTGTTGCATTAATTTTCCATGCCCTTTTACAGCAGTAAAGATTATCAGCTTGTTTACTGCTAATAAGTAACAACCAGGAAAGGCCAAATTAAAAGCAGTTTTGTAACTTAAAGAGACATATCTCCAGTTGATCCTCGATTTTCCATTACCTTCAACATTCACAGTGTTAGTTTTGGATTTGTGTTTTCAGATTTTTCTTATCTCCATGGGCAGAGGTGGCAAGAGGCAGATGAGGACAGCAGGAGCAGGGACTGCCTTTTTCCACAGCAAGTGCTGGATGAAGATGTGTGTGAAGCTTCAGCTTGAAACCAATTATGCCTCAGCTCTTCTCTGGTGGGAATCGAGTTAAGAATAACCTCTCATTGTCTTCCTGTCCTCCTTCTGCTATTATCTGTGCTGCAATCCAAAGGAGCACTGGTTTTAGCTGTTTAGCATTTCTGTAATAACTGCAGCCACAGATGCAAAGTATTACACTTAAAGTGGTATTCTTCAGAGTGAAACATGATGTTGATGCCTCAGCTAGCTGTAGGTGAACTCAAAGTTTGCATTTTTTAGCCAAAAAAAGTTTTCTTGCATGCTTTTTCTGTCTGAGAGAACCACAAAACAAAAATGCCTGTCTTTTAAATTCTCAGCCCCACACTTCCTGACTGACCCAATATGAACCACTGCTGTTCTGCACACATTATTTCCTCTCTTTGAAAAACAAAAGAAAAAATTAGCCACAGTCTGGCAATACCTTGCATTTCCATTGACCTTATGTCTCATCTTTTGGGGGCAGCAAGCTGCTCTTGACATGAAGGGAGCTAAAAGCAGAGCAGAGCAGAGGCGGACATGGGGTTGGAGACATCTCCTCCTCCAGCCCTTTCTCATTCTGCTGACTGGTCTCCTCCCTGACATCAAAGCACCTCACCAGTGTCCACTGTCGTAGGAGGCTGGAAATATTTTGTTATATTCTTTCTGCAGTATCAAGGATGTTTTTTGCATTCTTTTTTGTCTGGCAATTTTCTTAGCAAAACCTCCTGCTGCAGCACTGCTGCTATTGCACTGCCCGCTGCTAAACCTGGCTGTTGTCGCGCTGCAAAAATCATCAAAAAGCAACTTTAGCTCTTGTCTTTGCTGTGTGACTGAGGCTTTCCTGCCACAGCAGTGGCCAAGGTCTTCTCAGCCCACTGAAGATGTCTGTCACCAAGTCAGCAGCTCGGTGTGTTCCCTCCATCTGTGCTGCCAGAGCAGGGGAATGCTGCTGACTGGCACGCACTGGGAGCTGGATTTTCTTTCTCTTCCTTAGAGGTCCTATAAGAAGACTCTTCTCCAGTTATATTTCTGCATGGCTTTTTATTTTTAGTTTTCTGTATTTTCTTTTTCATCAAAGAGTGTCATGTTTTGTTTTGTTTTCATAAAATGTCTCAAAAATGAACTCTGTTTTGCCATATTCAAACTCTGCTTTGATAGAAATATTTGTATTGCATTTCAATCTGTCAAAATAGTATTTATTTCTAAATAGATTTATCTACAGATCTCATAATAAATTCTGATTATTATTTGCATATAAATAAATTGAAAAACGGTATTATTAATCTTCAATGTATTCGCTATTTTTAAAATAAAAAAATGACTGTCAATTATCAGTTGTTAACAAACTGAACCTTCTCCTAATCTATTTCCTTCCAGGGTAACAAACCAGGAGTTCTTTTCTGGTCTAGCTTTTAAATCTTAAGTTCCATACTTAAACAATTTTTTCCAGACAGCACATGGGTAAACACAAGCTGAATATTTGCATATATATTATAAATGCATATCTCAAAACAGATGTGAATTTTTTCAGTTCTCAGGGTTTTGATTTTTTTTTCCTAAGAATTAAAGATATTTGACATTTTCCTAAAAGCTCAATGAGCAGAATCGCTGAGACTCAGTGTTTGTAAAAAAAGTAATTTATAAACCCCTTGGATGCAGGAAAAACTTTAAACAGAAAGAAAGGGCATCCCAAAAGCTTAGAAACGCGAAGGCAAATAATTTGAAATTTGCCTAAGACAATCAGAAACTGAATTGTTGATTAGAATTGTTGATCTCAGGTGGGGGCATCGTTAACACATAGCCAGGCTATTAATGCACGATGCAAGTGAGTGTGAAAAGGGCTCAGCCCAATCGGGAGCTGTAAGAGGGGAGAGTTCTGCTGGCTGGGAGGGATATGGTTCAGAATTAGTGTTACACTTCTTTCTTAGAACTGTTTTTGCTTTTATTTTTTCCCCCCTGCTAGCAGCAGCCATAACAAAACCTGTCCTTGCAAAGAAGTGTGTGTCATCAAAGGTGACAACTTTTTTTTTCTCTTAAATTTTAAATTAGCTAAAAGGCTCAGGCTGTTGAGAACTTGATTGGAGATTTTGTATGCTTAAGGGTTCTTAACAGTGTGCTTTTACCCAGGTGGAGTCAGAGTACAAAGAGGAAGAAACCTCGGTTTGACACCGCCTCACTAATCTCAGCAGTGTATCGCTCATTATTCTGCACGGGATTAAAGGTAACTCTGTATTGCTGCCTTTGAGGCTCAGCAGGGCAGTTATCCTTTGCAAAAATGGGGTTAAATAATTCCCCGTGTGTGGCAGAAAGGTTCTGGAGAGAACACAGGTGGGTTTAAATTACCTGGCACAGCCTTCAGTGTTCCAGCCTTTGTCTTCTCTCCTGTAAAATATTCTGTAGCTTAGTTCCAGCATAAAAGGACTTAATCATAAAGGAAATTTAAAAAGCTTTTTTTTATTTTATTTTTTTTTATTTTTTTTTTTTTTAAAGAGAGGGTGGTATTTAAAAATTACTAGTCCTGTTTAAGGAGAAAAGAGGAAACAATTTTTGTGTGTGTGTGTGACACTTTTACAATCATTACAAGCACATGCAAGTCCTGGATGCTCAGCTGAAGTTAACCAAGACATTTTAAATTGGAGATCAGGCCAAATAAGCACTTTTAAATTCACTTTGCTGGGTTCTTTATTCTAGACATTGTCCCCTGTTAAATAAAGAGCATGTTAGAAATTTTCCATGGAAAGAAAGTTGCTTGTTTTTTGGTGGTTTTTTTCTCTGTAGAATTCAAATCTTGTGTCTATTTTTAAAGTATTTCATAGTGTGTCTAAGTTCAGATTTTCAGTCAAATGTTAGCGATCGAGAGTTGTTGTAGCTAGTGTTTACAAACACATTGTGTAGTTTCTGAATTTTGCACAAATATAATCTGTTTGGAGATGTGAAAGGATTATTTTTTAATGTAATAAGTGAAACAATGGGATTCTACCTATATTCATTTTTATACACCCACACACACATATATATTTGAGATCAGAAGCCATATGGGGTTGTTGATATCTGCCTGCATTTCTGAAAAACGGTCCTTTGCTCTTCTAAACTGAGGCTCTTCGGGAGCTACAAAGGTAAATTTGCTGCCCATGATACTCAGGAGTCTCTTAGCAAAAATCATGATTGTAGATCACCCCATACCAGCTCCCACCTTGATCTGTTGGCAAACAGGATCTCTTACACTGCATGCTGAAAAGATGCTTATCACAAAAAGTGGAACAGAAGGTTTTGACCCCTTAACATGACCCACTCAGTTATGACTACAGTGCAAAAAGATAACAGCAGTTGCAGGAGTGATTTGCATTCTATACAAATATGCTGATCCTGGAGATATAACCAGATGGATGCTTTTCCAAGGCACAGGCATCTGGAAGGCATATCCCTGTAGAGCCTCTCTCATTCTATCCCTGTTCAGAAATTATCACTCAAGGATATCATTAATTTTTCAATCATGTTTTGATTTTAGCGACATTTTGACACATATTTTTACATGACTACATGCTTATCTGCATTAGGACCAGCCTGCTCTTACCATCCCCAGAGAATTCTTGTGCTTGATTAACTAGAGGGCTCTTCTATACTTTTCTGATGTAGCATGTGTCAGATTAAAGCTGATCTATGCATGAGTGAGCACAGATGCAAGGAACTTCTCCTCCCTTCCTGTGTGCCCTGAGGGAAGGCCTTGCACAATAATAAATCCCTGAAATCAGCCATGTAGAAAGTAGAGAAAAACCTGGCCTATCTCAGTTTTATGATCCCAGAAAAGCTTCTACTAGCAGTAGCAATGTTAAGAGGAGTTCAGCAGAATGAGAGGAAAAAGGAAAATGCCCTTGGTGGTGTTCTGCTCACACTGAATCCTGCCTGGGATGAGCTCAGAGCCATGGCTGAAGGCTGAGTTCAGCCCTGCTCCTTGTGCCCAGCCTGCCTGAAGATCCCTTTCCTAAACCTCTCCGGGCTCACAGGGATAATGGGTGAGAGCAGGAGGCTGAAGCAGATGGTAACAGAGCCTTTTCTCTCCCCAACTCACCCGTGGTTCTGCTCAGCAGTGGGAAAGAATTGAAAGGCTGAAAGTTACCTAGGGGGGAGAGCTGGACTGTTTCTCGCTGAGTTACAACTCGCTTAATTCAAAACTATTGTCAAATGCTGTTTTTTTTCCAGTCCTTCCCACTCAAAAGCACATTACTTTTATGAAATATTTTAATGTAATTGGCTTAAAAAGCACAGGAGAAAATTTTCTCTGGTTCCCTGCAGAGTCTTCTGCAGTTTTCCTTTTTTGCTGAGGCCTTGTAATATTGGTATCAACTGGTTGTTGATAGTAGTGGTAATGAGCTGCTGGCATTTTATCACTGTGGATGTAGTGACTGTAATATTTAACTCTTCATCTGAAGGTGGGTTGCAGGCCCTTCAAACATACTGGTGTTTTCTGTGGTCAAAGCTGGCTCAAGATGCTGAGTAAATAACTTGTTAGTGTGTGTCTAAAAAAATGCATTTTGACATTTATTTCAAATATTTTCACATGTATTTTTAAAAAGGTTTTTATTGAGCATCCCAAACCACACAACAGAGTTTTCACTTGACTGAAACTTTTGAAAGTATAATACTGATAAATGAAAAGGTTTCTTCTGGCACAACGAGCTTTGCTATGAGGAAATGCCATTCCAAAGTCAGGACATTAGGATAAAACCTGGAAGCAATGTTCTGCCCAAGGCCTGTAACTGCTGTGAGATCTTTGGCAAACCTCCTCACCCTCTGGGCCTGATGCCTTTGAAAATGTGAGAGAATGATTTCCATTATTCTTTTTAAAAATTTAGACATCTAAAAATGCAAATTGTTACAGAAATTGTAAGGGACAGCACTGTATTTTGTGTATGAGGCCAGTGGCAGTAACTCCACAAAAGATTTTTAAAATGCAGATCTTGCAAATAACAAGAGGCAGGGTGACTGAACTCTGAGGAGCAGCTCAACTTTTGAGGACTCAGATAAACATTTCAGCAGGCACCAGGCCAGCCACTTACAAGTACAACCTCCCTTCCTTCATGTCAGCTTTCCTGCTAGTGACCTTAGTAGTTTACTTTAAGTCAATATTTACTTTAAATATTATGATTAAGTGACAATAATTTACCAAGATTAAAATGCAACTCTGATAAGAATTGAGCCAAGTACACACTAGAACACTTTCTACAAGAGATTCTCTTCAAGGAGCCTGAGCTCTGTTATGCTGAGAAAATGTGCTGGGAGTGTTGACCTGTCAAGCTGTGATGGTGTTGAAGGTGGATCTGTAAAATTCACTACTTGAATTGTGCTGCTACAGCTGGACACTGCTTTCAAAGGTCAGTTTCATGCTACAAAGGCCCTTTGAGCCACTAAAGATGATCACTAAAACCTGATCAAGGCTTCCCAGAGTAGCTGAAGCTATTGCCATGGGGAGCTGGGGTGGCACAGGACTGCTCTGCCAGTGACAACAGTCACATCCTTCCCCTCCTCCCTCAGGGCTGCAGCAGTTGTTACTACCTCAACTCTGAGTATGTGAGTTCTCTTGACAGGTTTAAAATCAGCTTGAGTCCTGCAGATGAAAACTTCATAAAGGCAAACCTTGAAAATTAAATTTTCTTTATGAAACATCTGGTTATAGTTTTGCAACTCTAACCAGAAAATCTAGCTGAGCTAACATTCATCCTGCTAAGGAGTGCAGAGGTTGTGGTGGTTAGTAATTCCTTTGGCTACAAAATGTCTGTGACAGTCTCTAAAATATTTGTTCCTCCTGCCTAATCACTCTTTAACATTTCTTAAAATTCATGGGGTAAAGTTTTCAACGTCTGTCTTCTGTACAAAAGGTGTTTTTCCTCCGTATCTCCTGAGAGGAAGTGGCACCAGTTTTGTGACCATTATTTATTATATCCACGAGGCTGCCTAGCCAGTCCTGTGCTTCTCTTTCATGGCTTGCTTTATTCTTCAGGGGAAGCAATCAACACTTCATTACCAAATATAAGACAGGGTTGAACTTTTCAATGCTGTAATTAAGAGAGTGTCAGCATGAAACATGAACACTATAAATTCCTTTTCTGAGGGATTTATGACCAAAATGTAAAACTATACTCCAGATGAAAAACTTGCCTTTCAGATCTTATACTATAAATTGTGATATTTTAACAATTCAAGGGGTATTTAAATTTTTTAAGAAGGAAGTTAAAATGAAAAGAAAAAAGAATAAAGGAAGGAAGATTTTATTCTAGTGGTTAACCTTCTTCTTTTTAAACACACAGACTTTGTGGGGGCAGATTCTTCAACTCAGAGACCTAATTTTCCCCCACCTGTCCTCAGCATATATTTTCCTCAGAGAAAAAAGGTCTACGGGTTTTTTTTTTTCCCTACAAAAAAGGACTGTAGATGTCACCTGGTGGTTATCTCTGACTATGAAATCCATAATCCTTACAGGTAATTATGTTGTCTGCCTGGAAGTTCTCACTTTTGAGGTTTGGTTGTTGGATGGCAGAGTTGCTGATTCTGACAATAACTCAAATCTGTTGGGATTGTGAGGAAGTCTAAGTACTCTTATTTCAGGTCTAGTGAATGTGCTGAGTAACAGCTGGTGTTTCTAAGAGTTACTCTTTTATTGGTTTGGTTTTAAGGATTGCTTACTCCATTTGAGATTTTGTTACATCCAGCAATTTTCAGGATTCACTGTTATGATCCCCACTGCAGCTATGATTCTCTTCAAGATACATATTTTCTCTGGCTATATAACAACTCTTCAGCTTTAGGAGCATTTTCTCAGGTAAGTCTAAGGTCATGCAAGAAATGTTGGGAATGGGTAGGTTTTATTTGTCCTTCCAAAACACCAATGAGGCACAACCACAAGTATGTCCAGACCAAAGTTTTCCTTTGCAGCACTGTTTTAACTACTGCAGCACAGCTCAAAATACCATCAAGATGAGCAGCTCTGTGCCTGTGTGGCTTCTGGGCTGTTCAAGGGTGGTTCCTGTGCTGAAGCTGTGCCATATGACTGGTGAGGAGGCTGTTGGTACCTGGCCAAGTGAAGCAGAACCAGGAGGGGCTGCTGGGGCTGCTATTTGCTGAAACTTGGATTAATTCTCTTGGAAGACTCCTGGATCTGATATTAAGTGAATACTGCCATCTCCTGCCTGTAAAATGCCCAGGATCACCTGCACCCTTCAGCTCTCTGAGGTGTGAATGGATGTTTGGGTATTAGTTTCTGCAGCTGAGGAAATTGGCTGCTTGGCTCTTGCTTTTTGCCACTGTTCATATAATTTCAAAGGCAGCTTCAACATGAAACATTGAAGACTTTAAAGATGAAGACTAAAAATAATGTATGGCAGAGACACCATGGTGTGATTAATAACTATTCTGCTATTCTTATTAATTTACTACCACAGCTCCTGTTAGATGTTGTTATGGGAATTTGTAGTGGAGTCACACTTTATAAACAGACTTCTGCAAAAATGTGAAAAGTCTTCACAGAATAGCAAACAGTGATAAGATTGCAATGATCATGTTTTTGTTTTGCATTTAAAATGAACCACACCTTTCCCAGGTATTGGCTTTCAGGCTTTTCTTCCTTTTGTGGTGGCATATTTTGAATGTGTTCTTCAGTTCTTTTCTGATAGGTCATACTTATTTGAAACCCTTTGGTACTTTTGAGTGTGATAAAGGCTTGTTAGTTTGCTTTTGGGAAGAGTTACCCAAATTGCTCCTACAGAAGAGCTGGACACAATTGATGTTTTCTTCTCCTCTTGTGTAGCTAGAGAGTATTTTTGGTGGCATTTGGTGCAGAACCTCATTGCAGTATCATTTTGTTTCAGTACTTTCTGCACATATAGGGTGAAAGTATAAATTAATGTTTGATTACTGTTAAATTATTTATAATGATGACTAAAATTATGGAAAACTATTTTTCCTCTCAATAGAGTAGATTAGTCTGTTAAAAGACCTGTGCTTTTCACTTCGTTGTGCCAGCCACCAGTATCGGAAGGAGGGGAAATGAAGAATTACCTTTGTGAAACTTAAGGTCTGTGTTTGGGAATTAGCATTTGGAATACAGGACCTGCCATTGTAACATGGCACAGCCCTTGCAGAAATGGCCAAGATCTTCCCTGGAAATGCTGTGGCATCCCGAGTTTTGGTTTCTGAGCACTTATTTTGGTGTCTGCTGAACTGGCATGACTTGTTCCCTGTGATGACCTTGTCATCCTGCCTTTGGGGGTAGGAGATTTCCCCAGATTTATCAAATTGGTCTCGGGCAAGACCAATGCATTAAGTCGAATGGTTGCACCACGGCTTGACCTGCAAGCAGGATGTCTTCCTACCACTATTCTTCTGAATCCCAATCTGGGAAATACTTTCAGCATTGCCACTCTGAAACTGACGTGTGACACAACTGTAGTGGAGCACTTTGTGTCAAAAACTTGACAAGATAATTCCAGCGACAGTGAAGCCGTACAGCCTTTTCTTAAGGCTCAACCACCCTTCTCAGACGGGCAGAACATCAGCTCGGAGCGGCGGGACAGCCTGCCCTGGCAGGGGGACACCTGGGGGACACCCCCTGCCCTGGCAGGGAGACACCGCGCCTCAGGGGCGGCTGTGGGCACGGGGCCTTGCGGGGACAGGGGCTCGCCTCGACAGCAGCTCCGGCGTGGGGCGAGGAATCCCGAGGAATTCCGGCCCCGCTTCGACGCTGAGGAGGACGCGGGAAGCCGCGGGGCTGAGGGCAGGGCCGGCGCCCCGGGGCTGAGGGCAGCCCGCGCCACGAGCGCCCGGGGTGGCCGCGGGGTCAGGCCGGGTGGCACCGCCTCTTCCCGGTGACGGCAGAAGCGGAGCCCCGAGAGGCGCCGCGGGAGCAGCGGGACGGCAGCGCCGGCACTGCCCCTGCCCCGCCGCCGCACGGAGCCCCCGCCGCCGCCGCCGCGCAGGTGAGGGCGGCCCGGCGGAGCAGCAGCAGCAGCAGGTGCCGCGGGGCTGGGGCGGGGCGGCCCCGCCGGGAGGGAGGCTCCGGGGAGGGCAGGCGGGCGATGCGCGGGGTCCGTGCCGCGGAGGGTGAGGGACGGTCCTGCCAGAGCGCGGCGGGCACTTGGGCTGGAGCGGACAAGGGAGTCTGGGGGCTCCTGAGGTGGCCCTGCCGCCCCGCACCTTGTGTCCGGCCGGGCCCCGCCGCAGCCCAGGCTGGCGGAGAAGAAGGAAGGAAACCTCGGCAGTGTGGCAGTGCCTGACAGCAGCCCGGCCGTGCGCGGCCCTGCCCGGGCTCAGGGCCCGGCTTGCCCCGGCAGGTGGGCACCGTCATGAGGCGGTTCCGCTCCCCTGCTCGTCTTGCAGGCTCTGCGGGCAGCAGCTGCATCGCAAGGGCCGTGCATCGATTGTTATTAATTATTACTGCTGTGGTGCTGCACTGGTGTCACTGGTGCGGATCCATCCGGCGAAGTGATGTCCTCGATCCAAAGGCAGAGCTCCGGGCAGGGGATGCAACAAACTTTTTGCAATGCCCAGAGCACATGGGAAAATTTAGAAATTGACCAGAGACTTAGAAATTGACCAGAGACAAACTTTGGACTGCACTTCTTGGTTAACTCTGTGTCATGTCGGTGAAATTATAACAGACTATGGATGCATTAGTGGTTATCTGAGCTATTCTTTGCTAGCTGGTGTGTTTTTAGCTTGCCTTTTCTAGTTTTTCCTCTCTTTGTTATCATGAAGAGAGTTACAGGCTATACACCAGTTTTCTGCTAAGAAGGGTTTGTTTGTTAAAGTCTGAAGTAAAACTATGTGGACAGGATAGATTAAATACAATTTGGATTTTTTTTTTTTTTATGTCCATGTTCACTTGGTTACTTGCAGTGTGTCTTTTAGACTTTTTAGTCCAGATCAGTCAGTCTTTTCAATTGAAACTTATCAGAACAGGTCTTACACAAACAGTAATAAGTGATCCAAGTTTTGCTTATGGTACAGGGCACCTTCAAACTTTAGCTCCTGTAATTCCTACAGTCAGAAGGAAAGAGTCATGTCTGTGTCCAAGCTGGAGCTTGTAGCATGTTTTGATGATTATTAACTCACTTGCTGAGTCCTGTAAGTGGTGCTGGATCTTTTCAGCTGAGGCTTAAGTAACTTTTCAGCAGAGGATCAGTGATGCTTCTGTTATGCACAGCATCTTGTAGTTCACACTCTGCTGGGTTGGAGGCATGCAGGTAATGGGCTGATGGAGGTCATCACAGAATCCTGCTGCATGAATGGGTAGAAAGATTGTTAATTCAAGTTGTTGTGCAGTGATGGGTGTCAGGAATGCTGGGGGGCACCTGTGTAAGACAATTCCTAATGTTTGAAGGTCTTATCCAAGGACTTCTGTTAGTTCTTTTACTATCAGGCAGCTTTCTGTGATGTTACTCTGAAAGTGGAACAGGTAGCCAGAACAGTCTAGGAGTGGTCAGTTAGGTTGATCAAATATTGCAATATTCTTTCCACCTTAAGTCAAAAACTTGACTCGTGACTTAGGAGTTAAGTTAGATTCAATCCACTGTTCTCTCTGGTTTCGGGAGAAAGAGCTCCTTTAAAAGGGGAAGTACAGTATATTATATTCAACAGAAACTGCTTAAGAAGCCACCTCTGAGAGGCAGTTCCTTTGTACTAAGGGAGTTATCTCTCAAAAAACCTACTGCATTGCCCTTTATTAAATAGCTGCATTTAGAAACTTCTTGTCTTGTTTTCCTACATCATATTTCATTTAACAGCTATACCTTGTACTGTAAAAGGCAGAGCTGATGTGCTTTTTATCATCTCTTGAAAAACTATACTAATTTAAAAGTTCAGTGTTTTGTTATTCAGTGTGGTGTTGCACAAATGCTTAATGCTTGTCCCAGATCACAGCTTATTTGTTTTATTCTGATTCTTAATGAAAAGAGCAAAGTGAGAAGACAGGGTTTCTATTTTTAAAATTAGAAAATAGACGTTGTTCAAAGATTTTTATTTAATTGTTTATATTTCCCTCCTTTCATTTCTTATTTTAACAAATCATTGTAGCAAGATTACCATGGCTGTCTTTTTAGGTGCAGGCTTGTCATAATTTAAATGATTATCTGATTATCTTCAGGTAGTCTAAGAGAACCAGTTACATTACGGCTAAAAGAAAATAATAAATTTTTGCTTACAGTATTTCAAAGTTGTTCACTCCCTCCCAGCTGTAGAATTGGGATACATACGTTTTTTTCAGTAGTATAAGGAAAGAATACTCCATTTTTTTTATTACTGTAACAAGGCAATATGAAACACTAAATGATGTCTATGTTTTGCAAACCATGTGCTCTACATCCTGCTGTAGAGCACTTCAAGCTCACGGTTGGCAGTGTAGAGGTAAGAAGGGACTCTTGTGGCTTCTCTGTTAACTTGAAAAAAAAAAAAAAGTGTTTATTGAAGTGGTAGAATTCAAAAAGGGATTGGAAAGATTGCACCGGGCAGCTTCAGAGTGAGGGAGATGGCTCCTGAAGCAGCTGAGACGCGGTGGTGAAAGGCCATTGAGTGCTGTAAGGAGAGGGAGCAGCAAGGGCAGTCAGGAGACAGCGACACGCGGGGTGAGGGGGCGAGCGCCGGCAGAAGCCTCGAAGGGGAAGCGAGAAGTGCCACGGTCGAATTAGCCATGAACACGGAAACTGAAACTGCTTGTGATGGAGAGCAGTGGCCTGAGCAGAGAGGAAGAGAAGCAGAGGGGAGCCGTGGCTGGTGCTGCATGCACAGAGCTGCTTCAAACCTGTCCTGCTCGGGGGTCGGGCTAAGGGGATGGCTGGGAGCTGTGTGACAGCAACCCCTGGAGCTCGTGTGACAGCGCTGCTCGTTCATGGGTGACAGAGCAGCTTGCAGACCATCCTGTTGCTAAATAATATCACTTAAGAGTAATCAGGATTGTAATTAGCTGTTTGGTGCAGTGATGTGGGAGACCAGAGATCTGCTCTGTACACATCCCCCTTTTGGCTGTTCTGTGCCAAGATGTGTCCCAAGTGTATGCACACAAATATCTGCCACCAACATGTGGGTAAGAAAAGGCAGATTGTGTAGGAGAAACAGAGCCATGAAGTTTTAAAAGTGCAAAAACCGATGTTTAGACGTTGCCAGCACTTAGTGTTTGCATTACTCATGTTTTCCCTTCACTCCAGTTCTCAAAAGGACAGTTACCTGCGTTACATTCTCATGAAGGTCTCATCTAATTCTATCAGAGTGCAAGAATTGACACGAGCTGATGCTGCTGGACCTGCCCTCTGTGAGGCTGTTTGTACCTCCTTGCAGGATAAACCAGCAAGGGTTAATGTTGGCCATGTACCTGCCTTGCATTGGCATGGGCAGGACTCTGTGTTAGGAATCTAACTGCATAAATGTGATCTTTAAAGAAATGAAAATGCTGTTTTAAATATTGAATTTTCTCCCTTTTTGTCCTTATATTTTCTCTCTTCAGGACACTGAAGACCATAAAAGCTTGATTAAAAAGAAAAAATGCCCAGAAAGACTATAGACTATGGAGTGATGCCTGAGTATGAGAAAAGCCAGATCAAAAGGACCTTGGAACTGGGAACTGTTATGACAATATTCAGTCTTAAGAAGAGCAGCCCAGAAAGGAGGACTATTCAGGTCATAATGGAAACCAGGCAGGTGGCATGGAGCAAGACAGCTGACAAGATTGAAGGTTTCTGTGAGTATTTGCAATGCGCACTTGAATTTGGAGTTACTAATAAATTGATGTACTTGTCAAATATTAATTTAACACACCTTTTATTAACATTATGAAGATTTTGGCTGAAAGAGCTTGGTAATTTGCTGAGAATATTTTGAATTGTTGTAATGTAGACAAAGAATCTTCTACAGCTCATTTTTTGGGTATCTAACATTACTTAAATATGATTAACATGCTTTTATCCTTAGCCTTGTTCTTTAAGTTTTAGTCTTTGAATATCATGGTGTTTGTGTTCTCTGAATTGACAGACTGTTTTCCATCATTATGTCTTATAAATTCAAGTGAATTTTTATTCTTTACCACTACTCTCAAAAAAAAAAAAAAAAAAGAAAGAAAGAACCAACCAAATATCTTCAAATACAAGGAAACTGAATTAATTCACACTTTGGTATTCTTGGGCAATTTGCTGTCTGAGGATGGGGAAGTCATTATTTAGGACCATTACTGCATTATTGGAAAGTACCAATGGCTTAGGAGGATGAAGGTGTGAGACATGAGGTGGTTTCAAGGCCCTGATTTGGTATTGTCTCTTTAGCTGATATTGGAACTGACTAAACCCATTATTTATAACAAGGTCAGGAAATAGAAGGGGAGTGTAAGGCTAGATAGGGCTGCAAAAACTAGAATAGAAGAATAAAGTGAGACTAATCCTCTGTTCTTACGAACACAACTGGTGCCAGGAAAGCTCAGCCTGGGCTTTCTGTGATTCGTGCAGCTCAGGGTGGCGCAATGTAGTTACAGTACTTGCATAGGACTGTATGGTAACTTTTTAACATTATTGTGAGCATGATTTCACTTTACACCTGCTAAGTAGTGTTTGTCCCCAATAAAGGAATTGAATAGTTTGTCTGAAATACCAGAATCATTTATTGGTCTGTGGAGGTGTGGATTTTTAGAAGGTTTTGGTTTTTTTGGTTAATACACGGTAAGTTAAAAATCTATTGGTCTGTAAGGTTGCAAAGACAGGCACTGAGAATTTGCATGATTTTGAGATTGTCTGAGCAGTTTCTCTTCATGCTCTTGATTTAAAAGTATTAAATCTCTGCTACTGTTTCCATTGATTCCTGTCTCATTCCTTGTGGAGACTGGACCTGCAACTGGAAATCTGATATAGTGGAAGTAAAAGAAGGGTTGTCTGGGAGGATGTTTTTATCATTGGTGGTGAAAATATGATCACATTCAGTGTTCTGGGGAAAAGCAAACAGGGCTGGACACCCAATTAACAGGTACTCTGGATCATAATCCTTCATTGCCCCAATTTCTTATGTGACAAATGAGGGTAATTATCCTCTCCATAATGATGTGTGTGAATGCAAGTACAAGTGTATTGCTGGTACCATGCCAAAAAAGAAGTCCTGGGAGGGCATGTAGAATTCAGTTATGAGAGTAGTGCTTGAATATTGTTTAGCAAATAAAGCCTGGGGTTTACACACAGAACAATAAGATTAAAACAGAGCAGAAAATGACCACTCAGTGAGGGAAGACCTCAGAGTCCTCTGGCCAAACCAATCTCTGATTCTTGGTGTTGAAGTCTTGCCGTTGCCATTTGTACAGAGGGGACAAATTTAAAGCTGAGCAGACTCTGCATTCCAGATGTTGGGGTCAACTTTTTCTGTCTTGTAATCACCTTTTATCAAAGCTTTCCGTGGCTGGTGTGTGTGTAATAATAAATAATAAATTAATTAGTTTGGTCCATGCATGGATTTTAATGCTTTTGAAAGAAGGTGAATATTGTAGTTTGACTCTTAAACCTGGGTGATCCTGCAGGGGAATGACTTGTTTCCAGATCCAGGCTAGAACAGGGAATATTGCTCGAATATGGCTTACCCAAAAGCCATCTGCCTCGCCACAAAAATTGTAGTGCTCTAGCAGTTTTTTAAATTGAGCAACACTTCAGTGACGTGTGTAATGCCAGGAAGTTTAGGTCTGAAAATATGGCCTAGTCTAAAGCACAGATATGTAAAATGTTGTTTTATTGGCTTAAAAATCAACGAATCTGCCCCAACAAGCTGTATTTTGCAGGTATTGTTCCAGAATATGATATGAACAGTTGTTCCAACTCACCATGAACCATATCTGGTCTACTAGAAATGAAAGTCACTGCAGATTTAGCTTGCTGACAGTGTTTTTGCTGAAGAGGAAGGAAGTATTTTATTTAGTTAGTTAGTTATTTGTGTGTTGCTGTTGCTTCTTTTGACTGAGACTCAGGCTTTCTTTTTGCTTGAAAAGTGGAAAAATGATGGATTTGAAGCTTCGCTATTTGAGAATTGAATGGAGTAGCCTCTTGAATATGAATGTATATGCTGGTAGACTGTATTGACTTTGTGATAAATAAAACCCATGTTTTTGTTTCTTGACTTTTTTTTTGAAGTAGTTTAGGGCAGAGAATTATCATCTCAACTGTTATAATATATTAATATAATAAGGCTGTACAAAATCTAATATTCATGATATGATCTTAATGGTTGCTGTTTGCATGTGTGTCAGTCCAAAACCAATTAATATTCAGTATGAGTGGGAAAGTTAAGATGGTTTCCTGTTCCATGTGTGCTATTTTAACTCGAGTTTGGCAACTGCTCCTTACAGAAGGCAGAAAACTCAATGTTAGCATCTGCTATGGGTTTGTGTTTCTAAATCAGAGAGTGAGGAGAGTTCTTTAACTTTAGGGACAAAAATAGGCTGCTAATAGATAGCAAAGACAGAGTCCTGTGTTGTGTTGTGAATTCTGGATGTCATAGTGCTGATTTTCTTGCTGATGGACTGTAAATGTTTGAAGAACACTCAAATTCCTCTAAGCCAGAGTTGATTATAATTATTACAATGACCTTTTCCAAGTTTGGTTAATATTGTTTTGGAAATGATTTAAGTTAAGCCTCACAATAACAAAAAGGCAGCTACTCTTATTCTGGAATAAATTGACCAGAGCAGGGGAGAGATGTAGGATTAGCTATGCTTATATAAATATTTACACAGCCCCATGGGCCCAAATGTGGCACTACTGTGTATTTTAAATTGCATTGCTCATAAAAGGCCCCTTGTGTTGAAAACCTGCCAGCATATCTGTTTAGAATAGAGTGAAAGAGTTGCTAAAATTAAGGATATTTCCTGCTCAGTGCAGATGTGCTTCTCTGGATGAGAAACTTCAGAAAACTCTTCCTAGATCCAGGCCTTTGGTGTGGTAAGAAGTGAGGATTTACAAAGGCTAGGAAATCTGGTTTAAACAATCCTTGTCTTCACTGTGTGGTTCAGATCACACAGTGTCCAAGTACTGGAGTTTTTACATTGACCTTTTGAGAGACTTGAGTTGCCATATACAAAAGGAATTTCTAACAGAAAGGAACTGGGGAGAAACCTCTGTATTTTCCCCTAAATGCAAGAACACAGGTTGGTTGTGTCCTTTAGAGAAGGATATGCTATTTCAACAGTAGATCAAGAGGCACTGTATTTCTGACTGTGCACGACAAAAATTTGAGGTAACATTTTCACAGCCCAATATTAAGCAGGTAAATTCCAAGGTTAGTCTCACTTGTGTACCCAGACAGGCATTTGAGAGGATTAACTTATTTTTGCATGAGAGAAGAAAAGTTTGGTTTCCTTGTACAGAGGGATTTGATTTGCTTGTTTAATTTGTAATGGACCCTTTTCCTGCAGAAGTTAATCCCTGCATTCTGGGTGGGTGACTGTGGAGCTGCCAGCATGGTCTGTTGCCGTGCCTTGCCTCTGATGGGTCTGCTGTGTATTTTTATTGTGTGTGTAACCTTTACAGCTGTCTGTGGGTCTGGATGGGTCACACACACCCCAGGGTGGTTCTGCCCACCTCAGAGTGTCCCTGGGGGTGTTGTGCACCCCGGGACAGCAGTGACAGACACAGGGGAAGGGAGAGGTGGCCAAGGGAGGGCAGGGTTTGCCCTCAGCCTGCTGAGACACCTGGGCTTTGCTGTCTGAGAGCGCATTCCAAACTCCCAAATTGTGTACAGCATTTATATGCACATGAATGAATGAATTAAGCCCCAAAGTTAGGATATTTAAGCTTTTGTAGAGCAAGCAGGTGGTGAGGTGTAAATCTCCAGGAAGCTGATCCATTATGGGTATTCCATTCTTTCTCAGATGCAAAGTGATTTCAGGACAATTATTAAGGGAAAGCTCTGGGTGACTAGAGTTGGATTAGTCACTGGAAAATGTGTGAGTTTCTGCATATTCTTCCAAGAATCCCTTGAGTGAAGGGATGATTCACAGCCAGGAGAATTTATACTCTCAGAAATCTGTGGTGCCATCCTTGAATGTGCAAGTGTGTGATTCTCTGTAATACAAGCATGCTCATTTCAAGGAACATTCTATTTGAGGACTGAAGATGATTTCTCTGTTTTTGAATACTTAGGATTTTTTTTAATATGAAGAGGTGACCTGCTTTTGTAAAATTATATAAACCATATTTTATCCCTTATTTTTTAGAAAAGAAAGATAACCTTTTCATGTTTTTTTCATGTTCTTTATTTATTGCAAAAGATTCCATAATAAAAATATCTAGTGACAATTTAGTTGTGCAAGCTCATAACAAGAAATAGGTTTAAAGCATCAGAGGGCCATAGTTAGAAAAAGTTATATATCAGCTGTGAAACTGCTCTTTCTGTATGCAGAGTGAGAGGTCAGGGTGTAGATAAGGTGGGAAGAGAAATGTTAGTATTAATTTATTCTGAAAACTTTCTCAGAGGATGAAGTAGCTGGACTGGGGAGTGGCAGAGATGCAGGCATCATGTCAATGTAATTGCAGAATTATGAAGCAGGGGAATAAAGGCTGTGCTTAAATTGAAGCTTTTGATGCTTGTGACACACCACAGTACAACAATAGCAGCCATTTCTATTTTCTGCAGCCCAGACCTTTATTAATGCAATAATACTATCTTGTGTCTTTTTTCCATTTATAACAGAAACCCATGTTTGACAATGCATGACATGTT